TGCATGTGTGTGTACATGTGTGTGTGAGCCCTGGCTCTGCATGCATAGTGTTTGTATGGTGTCAGGCTTTGGGGTGTTGTTGGGCTCTATTCACAAGCATCCTTGGAGCTTTCCACAGGGTTTGAAAGACGGAAGGAAGGAGAAATGAAACAGTGACTGCCCTTTGGTTTCAACCTCAGTGTGAACCTCCCTGAGTACCCAGAGCTGAGCAGGGGAGGTTTGGAGGGATGGAAGTGTCTAAGAGACAATGTGCTGCGCTCTCACACCTTTTGGCCCCTGCCAAGCTTGGCATCAGAGCTGTGATTCCCAACTGGAGCTAGTCCCAACTGCTGGCTTCCAGAGTGGCAGGATAGGGACGAGTGGGACTCACCCTAAGTCACGCAGCAGTTCAGGGAAAAAGGAGTACTAGAGCAGAACCCCACTTTCCCCAGCAGGTCAGGCCAGGCTTTCATTTAGCTTCCTACCTAGGTGACCTTGTCTCTATATTGGGAACTCACGCTTTGCCACCATGGCTTCCCTTCTCTCTAAGGATGAAACCTGAGGCCAGACTGTGATACCTGGGCATCACAATCTGGCCCCTGCCTGCTTCTTGGGCCCTGGACCCACGCCAGCCTCTCTCTGTGACTCCAAGACCAAAGCTGGTTCCTTCAGGACTTGCCATTCCGTTTTCTAGGAACACCTCCCCCCAGGTCTTTATGGCTGGCTCCTTCCACCACTGGGGTCTCAGGGTAGGTGCCACTTCCTCAAAGAGGCCCTCCCTGGCTCCAGGCTAAATTTGCTCTCCCAGTGTCCTCACCCACATCCCTTTGTCTTGTCTGCTTCCCAGCACTCTTTACTTTCTAGAAGGATCTTGTTTACTGCCTTAATTATCACTTGTCCCCTTCCAGTATGAAGTGAGCACCATCTCGTCAATGCTACATGCCTGACCCCTTGGACAGAACCTGGCACCAAGTGGCCTCTAACAGATATTTAGGATTAGATTACCTAGGTCTTTGCCAAATCCAGACTGCTTGAACCCTCCGAAGGGAGCAGCCACATCAGTCTTGTTGTATGTGTTGATAAACACGGTGCCTGCCTCCAGCTTGTCACTGACATATAAGGCCTTGCCGATGTCCCTGGTGAAGACTCCAGAGGCCAGACCAAATTCTGTGGCATTGGCCCGAGACAGCACAGTGTCCACGTCACTGCAGGGAAAATCCAGGAAGAAGTTGGTGAAGGAGAATTGGGCAGCAGCCCTGGACTTGGGAGTCAGAGAGACCTGCACCTCCCCCAAAGGGGAGCTTGGCCCCCTCCAAGTTCCCCATCATTCAGGACCTTCTGAGGAGAAATGTTCCAGCCCTACAGCAAGAGTAGAGATGACAGGGCAACAGAGAGAAGAGGACAGAGTTAAAGAGAGGAGAAAGAGCAGAGTAGAATTTGCACACAGATGGCCACAAGGACCCTTTGGGTTATCAAGGGCGAGCCCCTCACTTTACAGACAGGGTGATGGGAGCCCAGAAGGAGGCAAGTGGGGTCCCCACAACACATGGAAAGGTACATGCACTGAGTATTCCCCAGGGAGCCACCTCTGGGACATCCCTGCTTCAGACATCATGGGCTTGAAGACTTAGCACAATATTTGCTTGGAAGATGGCAAATTATTCTAATAAAAATCAGCATGTAGTGATAATTTTGATATTATTTTGACAGTTGGAAGTATAGTGTATTAGGTTGAAGTGCCATTTTGTCATCTTCTCAAAGGTTCTATTCTGAAAACTAATAGTCCATAAAAATAGTTGTGGTAGATCGGTATGGCCACAGAGTCCAATTCCTCTTCTTTTGAACTCAGGTTGGTCTTGTAACTTGCTGGATCAACAGGACATGATGAAAGTTAGGTCTGGGCTTTCTGAGGCTGATCAATGGATCTTGAAGAGCCTTGAAGCTTGCACTCAGCCTCTGTGGGGGAGCCGGGTGCAGAGCAGAGACCCTGAGGCTGCCATGGGGCAGAGAACCTGTAAGGTGGCCCAGAGCCCACTGGAAGACAGCCATTCCAGATGTCCTGACTAGGGCCAGACATGGCACAGAGCAGAGGCAGGGTGGACCCATCAAACCCTAACTAAATTGTATATTCATTAGTGAAATAAATAACTATTGCTATTCCAAGCCACTGTGTTTTGGGGTAGTTTATTACACATCAGTAGACAATTAGGAAAGATACCAACACACTAAGAGAGACATCCAGAGACACAAAGGACACTCACAGTGGAACCCAAAGCCCTGCCAGTCCCCTGGGGCTCTCCTCCTCTTAGTGGTTGATGAGGACTTAGCAGGCAGACAGGTTTTAGCCACAGCCCCCACCCCATCTGGGTTCTTCTTCTGTCCCCAAAGCTCATGTGAAGTCCCCAGTAACACCTGGGAAAGAATCAGGCTCTTGAGAGACATAGGCAGGATTCCCTACCCGTTGGCAAACCGAGAGATGATCATGATGGGCCCAAAGGACTCCTCCTTGGCTATGAACATGTGGTCCTCCACGTCCGTGAAAACAGTTGGCTGGAAAAAGAAACCTGGGGAGGAGACAGAGGTCCGTGGCATTCAAGAAAGCCATCCTCCAGTAGTCCAGCCTCTCCCTGTCCATGTTGGGTCCCACCAGCCACCATGCACACATCTCACTTCAACAATGCAATTCGTGACATCTGTGTGGTAGATGCCATATACTGTGGGTGGCTTTCCTGCCCTAGACATATGAGTTCATGTGAGCCTCACAACCCTTTCAGTTAAATGCTGCTGAGGAAAATGAGGCTTAGAGTTGGTCTGTAACAGAGCTGACATTTGGATCCAAGTCTGTCCAAGGCCAATGCCGAAGCTCAAGATCACAAAAAAGACTTGAGTTTTTCTAAAAACCTATCTGGATTCTTTGGGTGGTGCAGCCTCCTCCCAGATGGCTCGCCATTGGCCCCTGGGCGTGGTGATGAGGAGGAGCCTTGGAAAGGACCTCCCAGGACTGCCTCCCTTCTTCCTTTTCTTCCGCCCTGCTCTGGGCCCCACCACCAGCACTGCATGCCCAGGCTCCCGCGTCCTCTGGTCCAGTTGGGTTTGGCCACTAGGAGGCAGCACCCATCCTACAGTTCTGCCCTCACTAGGTCCCAGGAATTCTGCTCCCTCCTTTTTTCCCTCAGGTCAGGTGGTGATAGTGAGGGTTCCCCACTGTTCCTAGTTCCTTGGTGCTGCATCCCCAAATTGCTCTTTGAACAATGCCTTCATTTCACTCTCTCCCATAAGCCCCTGAACTCTGGCCTCATGGAACCCCCAGTCAAGTGGCAGCTGTGAAAGCGGTAGGCAGACAGTGGCAGTACAGTGGCTATAGAACTCTGTCGAGGTATGAGGGTCCAGGAGCACCTGTGACACAGTGATGGCCTCTGCCTGGCTGTCATTTGAGCTGGATAATGAGTTCACCAGGTGGGGAAACCAGGGAGGTGTTCACTAAGCAGAGAAATGGCAAGTGCACAGAGAGCAATAAAACAAGAATCATGTTCAGAGGGAGAGTTGAGCATGGCCAGAGTACGGTCAAAGGCAAGCAAGTTAGACACATCAAGAAAGACCCCTGGTGGGAAGTTAAGAAGTTTGAGCTTGCTGTTGCAGGATGATGGGTCATAATGAAATTGTTCCAACATTAGGGGAGACATAACCAAACCTCTGACAACTGCATAAGTAAAGGATTAGCAGAGTTCAATGGGTCCTGCAGGAAGCCACCATGACTGTCCAGGCAAGACAAGATTCGAAGAGTTGGCCCTATGGTGACATGGATACAGGAGAGGCAAGAAAGATTTCTAGATTTCAGAGCTTTAAGTAAATAATTAAGAGTATGGGGGTCAAGAAAAGAGAGGAGTCTAGAATTTGTTCTTCTGTCCTTTATTCCATCACATTAACTCAGGCTTGGTATGAGGCTTGGAGCTGGCACGAAGGACCTAACAGTGTAGCGGAGACATATGGCTCCTGTCCCCCTGGTGCAGGCAGTCTAATGGGGAAGCAGCTCAAATAATCCATACCTGCCACTCCCGCTCTTCTGGCTCTGCTGACTTGATGAAATGGAAGATTCTAGAGAGGCAGTTGTGTATGTCTGGGGTCAGGTTGGGTCTGGGGACACTGTGATGATGTGATGGATTTGGTACCTTTGAAGGACCTGGGGGACATGTAGGTGGAGGTGTCTGGGTATTCAGGAGTTTTGAGTGAGGAGGGGCCTTGGGGACAGATATTTGGGAGGGTCTAAGACATTGCATAGGGTTAGACCCTCCAGGAAAAGTGTCTAACATAAGGAGTGCTCAAACTCAGGACAGACCTGGGGATATACCCTCATTTAAGAGACAAGTGGAAAGGGCCGGCCGAGTGGCTCAGTTGGTTAAGAGCTCACTCAAGAGTTTGAGCTCTGAGCAACAGCGGTTCAATGCCTGGCCCGAGCTGAGCAGCTGCTGAGCTGCCAACAGGTGGCAGGATGGCTCAGCTTAAAAAAAAAGAGAGACAAGTGGAGAAGGAGCTCCCAGTAGAGGAACTGCTGAGAAATTCTGGTGAAAGGTAGGAAAGCCATGGAATCCAGGGCCATGGAACCCATGGGAAGAAAGAAGGTCAAGGTTGTGGTGATGTTAGTGGCAAGTCAGAGTCCACTGCAATACAGATTAAGCCAGCACTGACTATGCTTTCAGCCCTGGTGCCTTCACCTTGCCAGACCCACACCTGGTCTGGCAGGTGTCCAAATAACCAAGGTCACTTCATCCAAGGTACCTCCAGTTAGAGCTGGGTAAAAGACCACAGGCCATGCTACCTCCTGCCTCAGTTTACCCAAGTGGGCCAGGAGTGCTCCAAGTTACCTGGTCGAGGGACTTGATTCCCACCACAGACCAGCGTGGCCCCTTCTTTCACACCACGCTGGCAATACTCTATCAGTTTCCGCAGGTGGGCTTGGTGATTCTGTGGCCCATGGTTGGTGTCCCGGTCTAGAGGGTTGCCAATCTTCATCTTCCTCACCTCTTCTACCTGTGGAAAGTCCTTCCAGTCAGGTCTCAGTCAGGTGCCACAGTTTCTGACTTTGCTCATCACCTGACCTCCCCTCCCACATTTGCATTTTTGGTGACTAACCACTGGCTCCTGAAGAAAGTGCACGTGTCAGTTTCTGGCACTCAGGGAGTTCCATATTCTGGTTCCCAACCTGCCTTCCAGGCTGAAACCAAAATGTATGTTACATATAAGGAAACCTGGACCTAGTGTCAGATGCACTGGGAAACGCGATTGTGCAGGGATATAGTGAGTGAAAAAAAGAAGCAGGTGTATGTGTGAGTGGGGGAAATCGGGGCGGGGGGAGCACACGGTGTGTCTTTAGACTGGTGCTGCACCCAGCTTCACAGACTAAGAAGCTGAAAGAAGGCTTGTCCAGGGACTCCAAGATATGGGATGAGGGTGGGGGAGTGGGGAAATACCAGTCCTGGTGCAATGTCCTGGTGACAAGTGGGACAGACACTGAGTGGAGTGGAGGGGCCTGGGCCTTGAGTCCACTCACCCTTGCCCCTACTTCTTCTGCTTGCTTCAGAACCCAGCTTGAAGGCCCCCTCCTCCAGGAAGCCCTCCCCATTGCCTTGGCCAACATACAAAAAGATCTAGGCTTTGCTGCCTAGAGTTGGCCTGGGTTTCCTCAAGGGATGTTCCAGATTTTATCTGATGATTCTGGGGCTGGGATGGGGAAAGTCAGAAAAGATCTGGGTATGGGATGCTGTGCTATGAAAAGGAATGTATGTGAACATAACCAGTGGGTGGCAGACGTCAGGTATTCAGGGCTCCAGGCTAGAGCCAGCCGATCCTGTTTTTGTTACCTCCCTCCTGTGTTCCTTCCTTGGTTTCCTAAGACCAAACAAGGTCAGCTCTGCCCTCATTGTAGCTGCAGTAAGGCCTCCTCCTTCGTGGCTAGGGCCACTGAGCTCCTGGGCAGGCTCCACATACCTAGCCAGGACTAATAAGATGCAGGAGAAACTCAAACTTCCCCACCCCCTGACCCCAGAGCCACCCTCTGCCCTCTTACCAGGGCCCCTTAGCTCTCCTGACTGTCCTGAAGGGTCCCCAAACTGGCACCAAGTTGCGCTTTGCTCCCCTCTCTGCTCCAGCTTGGCCACCCAACTGCTCCCCTGTCTCCCCAGGCCACCAAGAACAACCTTGCTGAGTCTCCTGAATGCTCAGCTTACTCCCTGTATTTGGGATTCCGAGCCCTGCCTCTTCCAGTGGAGTTGAATGAGCTCCAAGAGGCCTTTACACTTTCAGTCTCACTCCTGGGAGTCCGGGAACAGGCCCTGCATGTGCCTGGGCACAAACTTCAGAATGAAGGACTGAGGGAACAGAAACAAGCCACTCAGAGCAGCCACCAAGTGCTCCAGCTGACCTGGCAACTCACCGCAGATGTGTGAGCAAGTTCAGGTGAACTTGGACTGGTGTCCACATTGTCAACCCACAGGACTGTGGGCTGTGCAAAAAGTTGTTATCCCTAGCCACTAGTTTTTGGAGTAGTTTGTTACACGGAAAACAGTTACACTCCCTTATAGAAAATCTGTTTCCTATTTTCATATCCTGCCTTTCATATTTTTAACCATTATTCAAGATCTTCTTCTCCAGAAACTCCTTCCTAACAGTCACTCTACCCTGTCCCCAGACCCACTCTCATCGCTTTGGCTTCCTAAATATAGTTTGTTTAAATTTTCGCATGGAGGTTATGCCCCCAGCACCCCCTCTCATATCCACTGGTTTTGGATTTTGCTCTCCATGACATGAAGGGGAAGGGAGATAATGCTTGAAGCTGAGCCAGAGCTTCCCAAACCCTGCGACCACTGAATGGATCAGGGATGGAACAGAGACTCTGTCACACCCGTCATGTCCTTCCCCACAGCTTTTTACAACAGAGTTGGTGGGGAAAACGTGATTTCCCTGTCTGGATCCACGTTGTCAAATGTAGGAGATGCTGTCAGAAACCTGCTTCATCCCCTTTACTTGTGAGCACACACCCTGCAGCAGTTGTGAGAGGTGGCTGCTGACAGGTTCCAGGAGCTGACAGGAGGTGTCCTCCTCTAGCCAGTGGACAGGCCATAGTCAACAACAGTTGACAAGGGACAAAAGCCTGGTCCCCTGACTCTAAGGGTACAACTGAATGGTGTCATTCGTGTTCCAGAGCTCCTGTCCGTGGTCAGGCCAAGGCTGGATGTCACCTGAGACCAAGTCCTCAGTCCCTGTTCTCTCCTGGTCCCTCACATCTTCCAGGTTTCACCTGAGAGCTCACCCTTAGTAAGCTACATGAATTCCTGGCTTAGGCTCCACTGCAGGGACCTGACCTAACTAAGACAGGCCCTTTTAAGTTATGTCAATTTGAGCTGCAGGGTTGCTATTTCTTGCTACTATAATAAAACTCAGTGAAGACTTGATACAGCTCCTCGAGGGTTCCCCGCCCCAGGTGAATGATGCCTGACTCCACCTGGCCCAAGCCCCCGCAGCCCAGGTGACTAACCTGGTGCACCAGCAGCTCTGAGACCCTGTGGCAGAACTTACCACCTTCTGTACAAACTGGTCGTGGATTGAGTCCTCTACAAAAAGCCGGCCTGCTGCAATGCAGTTCTCGCCTTTGTTGAAGAAGACAGAGCTCATCCCCTTTGGTAAACCGACAAGAATGCTGGATTATAGCCACTGTGATGGGCACCGGTGCCCCACTCCCACTGGGCCCTGGTACCCCCTTGTATAGGAAAAGGGAGGAATGCACATGTCCTGACTTCCTAAGGAGGGCAAGCCCAGACAGTGCAGGACACATGTACGCCACTCATTCCTTAATCACTTCAAGAGGACAGGCGAAGGGTGACCTGCCCCTAGGGGACAAGGCCTGTGTCCATGTTGCAGAGAGTGGAGGACAAGAGGGAGTGAAGCAGGGTGAGCATGAAGGCCCCACCCATGGAGCAGTCTCCCTAGGGTGACTCAAAAGGGGTCAGAGCCCACATCCTTGGAGCTGAGCCTGGAAAGCCTGTTAGCAAAGAGCAGGGAATAGAGAGTGGGCAAAGGCAGGCAGTCTTGGAAGGGACAGGGTGCCAGCTCAGGCTGGAGGGAACTGGCAGGAGTCCAGAATAAATGTGCTCTAAGGCTTTATGGACTTGGGGAACCTTATGTAGGGGCTGGGGAAGGAGAGAAAGCCTGGCTGCTCTTGGTCAAGCCTGGTTCTCCTGAAAGCTGGACCTGCACCACCCAGTGTCATGGTCGGGGCCTTCGGTCCAGCAGCGTCAGCCTCAGCTCCAGGGCCAAGACCCTTGGGCTGATGGACTGGCTGCCCTTGGTTTCCCCATCTAGTGAGACTGGACTCCCTTTCATGTCCATGCTGGGTGTCACATCATCCTTCAAAGCACAGCAGGACTTAGATGGGGTAGGGATATATCTGGGCACCTGGATGAACAGGGCTTTACTGGTTTGCTCCCATAGGAGTGGATAGGGGCCTGAAGCATAACAGTAGTTCTAATGTAAGAACAACTGATACACAGCTCCTGCCATGTGCAGCCACTGTTCTAAGTCCTTCAGACATAGTAGCTTATGATCCCCATATCAACCATAGGAGGTAGGTATACTAATCTTCCCATCCTATAGGTGAGATTATGGAGCCCCAGAAAGGTTAAGGAACTTGCCCAAGACTTCCCAGTGAGTCAGTGGTAGAGCTAGGCAAGTGTGGACATGGCCCAAGGTTGAGGGGTTTCACTGTTGGTAGGGTTGTGCCCAAGTGTCCAGGGTTTTGCTTTGCTTTTCTACATAGGAAAGGTTGCAGTGTCGATTTCAGAATGTTTCCCAATCCATGAAGCTGACTCCAGTTATTCTTACAGTTATGAAACTTCTTGGGAAGGCGGTTTTAGAGGGCACATGTCATTCCTTGTCCCAAGACTCTTTCCTGCCAGTCTACAAGGTCTGCCAATTAAGTTCACGAACTTGCCACCATTGGCAGCACTGTACAAACAGCTCTATAAAGTTTCATAATCCTGGTTTATCAGTGTCTTACAGCTGTGTTTGTGTCGACATGTGGCGGTGTCTTGCTGAGTGGTGTTCATTATTGTTGTTGCGTGTTTTTGTGTGCTATTGCGAGAATGTCTGAGCTTGAATTAGAGCAATGAACAAACATTAAATTTCTTGTTGAACTTGGCAAGAGTGGAAGTTAAATCAGGAACATGTTGTCCAAGTTTATGGGGATAATGCCATGAAGAAAATGGCAGTGTACAAATGGATTAAATGTTTTTCTGAGGGGAGAGAATGCGTCACTGATGAAGAGAAGTCAGGGAAGCCAGTAATGTGCAGAATCAACAAAAGCATTGCAAAAATTCTTTGAATTGTGCATCAAAATCATCAGCTGACTGAAAAGCATAGCAGACTCAGTAGACATTGATAGAGAAACGGGAAATTCTTAGCTGAAAATCTTGGCATGAGAAAGCTGTGTGCAAAAATGGACCAAAGGAGTTCACTAGTGAACAAAAGCAAAGGAGAGTCAAAGTTTGCCAAGACCTTTTGGAGAGGCAAGACAATGTTTCTGGGCCATGTTATCACTGGTGGTGAAACATGGGTTTATCAATATGACCCTGAAACAAAGCATCAAAGTGCACAATGGAAGTCAGCCAATTCTCCACGACCAAAAAAGTTCTGTCAGTCCAAATCAAGAGTCAAAACAATGTTGCTAACCTTTTTTGATATCTGAGGGATTATTCATTATGAATTTGTACTAACTGGACAAACAGTTAACCAAGTTTACTATTTGGAAGTGCTGAAAAAGCTGCATGAAAGAGTTAGACAATAATGACCTGAACTTTTCGCCAACAATTCATGGCTCTTGCATCATGACAATGCACTAGCTCACACAGCACTGTCTGCGAGGGAGTTTTTAGGCAGTAAACAAATAACTGTATGGGGACACCCTCCCTACTTACCTGATCTGGCCCCCAGTGACTTCTTTCTTTACCCGAAGATAAAGGAAATATTGAAAGGAAGACATTTGGATGACATTTAGGACATTAAGGGTAATACGACAACAGCTCTGATGGCCTTTCCAGAAAAAGAGTTCCAAAATATCTTTGAAGGGTGGACTAGGTACTGGTGTTGGTGCATAGCTTCCCAAGGGGAGTACTTCAAAGGTGACCGTAGTGATATTCAGCAATGAGGTATGTAGTGCTTTTTCTAGGATGAGTTTGCAAATCTAATTGTCAGAACTCATATGCTTGTGATGACACTACAGTCTAGGCTAAATGTGTGAGTCTGACTGTAGAATCAGAGAAAGCCTCCTGCTGTCCCACTCCCACTGACCTCCCCCCAGGCTGGCCCTCACCATCTGCACAGCCTTGCTGAGATCACAGTCAGCAAAGATGATGAGGGGCGACTTCCCACCGAGCTCCAGGGACACCTTCTTCACGTTACCCAGGGCACAGCTGAAAGAAACAGTGTTGGTGGGGTTGGGTCCATGGGAGATAGGGACACAGGGCTCTAGGTGGAGGGGTCCAAGGGCAACTCCAAAGCATGCTTTACTTGAAAGAGCAAGCAAGGGTTGGAGGGAGCCCCATATGAGACCAAGCCCAGTGACTTCCCACCCCACACTTACCAGCTACTCCCTCTCACCTTCCCTCACTCACTGGCTTCCCACTATGTCTCCTCCAACAGCCAACCGCACCCTACCTCAGGGCCTTGCTCTCACTGTCCCCCTCCTAGTCACTCCTTCTTCAGAGTTCCCCACAACTCATTCCTCACCTCTCAGGCTTCTGCTCCGAAGTCCCTTGTTAAGGTGCCTGCCCTAACAGCTCCTTATAAAACGTATGCTCCTGTGTACCATGGTGCATTTGTCTGACCCCACCCACCAGAGCCTAAGCCCCAGCAGGGCACTGGCATTTGTCTGGTCATGTAGGCAGTGTTCAATAAATGTCGAACCAATAGGTCAATACAGAAGCACCCCCTAGGTGGGGCAGCTGCAGTGCCATAGGGGCTTCGCACCTCAGATTTTTAGTGATGGGTGCAAACAGAGAGTAGCTGGGGGTCCTGTGCACACTGTATTAGTGGAAACAAAATGGACTTATTGATACTACCCTCAAAAGGACACTCAGTGGACTGGGCACAGGGTGGGGGATTCCTTGTTCAGGATTGACTTCAGGAGGAGGGCTCCCCTGTTTCAGGAACCAGCTACAGGGGCTTGGAGAGGATCCAGGAAAACAGCAGCTGCAGAGCCATGGAATGCTGCCCACCCAAACCCTCTTTCCCTGGAGTCCTTAGAGTGGACATTTCCCAAGACTTTTTCCTCTGGACTTTGTGCACACATGTTCAGATGTGAATTTCACCTACATACCACAGGGGAGACTGGCCAGCTTTTGAATCAGAAGAGGTAAATAAACTGTTGTGACTACTTGCAGTTACATCCCCTGCTCTGTCATCTGTCTGTTCATCCATGAGTTCATTGCTATCTCCAGACTTCCCCTCTTCAACCCCAAGGCTTTCTCCACTGCACTCAAAATGAATCACAGCAGCCCCACCTGGCTCACTCACAGGCTGCGACATCAGCCTCTACTGACCCTAAAGACATAATCCACCAACCACATTGGCCGTGGCTTCTGACCCAAAAGTGGATGTCACATAAAGCCACTGAAATCGGCACAAGTGTGGTGCCCATTTGAGGAAGTGGTCACAGCCCAGGCTGTTTTAGAGGGAGTGTGCAGGGCTGAGGAGTGTGAACCCCAACTTGTGGGCCACAAAAAGGCCTGTGGAGTGTGGGGTAAGGGGCTGCAGTAGTGTCCCAGGGAGAAAGAGCATTGCTCTGCATTAGGAGCTACAATAAAGAGACATTGTTTTAATATAAGAGAAGCCTTTCTCCCTGTGGAATTGTCATGCCATAGTTGGACTCCCCACACATGTGACCCTTGGAGCAGAGACAGAAATGGGTGGTCATGTATCCTTAGAGATCCTGTAAGTCAGCAGGCTTAGAAGAACCCTCAGATGCTTTCTATTTGCACTCATCACTCAAAGTGCAGATACCCAAGACCTACCCCAGAAATTCAGCTTCAGTGGGGTGGGGCTTAGGCATCTGGTGATTGTCTTGGAGCAGCCAGGGCTGTGAGCTGCTGCCCTGGGATTTGGCCCTGTCTACCTCTCCAAGCTCATCAGCTACACAGACCGGAATTACTGAGCCTATAAACTACCTTGATTGAACTGGTGGGGAAACTGAGGCCTGGAAGGGTCAGGGCTTGACCCAGGTCACATCATGAATTAGTGACAGAGCCTGGAACACAACCCCAGTCAGTTTCGGTTTGAGGCCAAAGTAGAAGGAATAAGAGTTAGAGGATGTCTTAGATCAGTGCCCTCCATTAGAATAGAACAAAACCCTCAATACTAGCCATATATGTAATGGCTTTTTTCTAGTCGCCATACTAAGGAAAAAAAAAACTAAAGAGAAACTGGTGAAATTAATTCTAATACATTTAATTTAACCCAATTAATAAAAAAATATTATCATTTCAACTTGTAACCAATATAAAAAATTATTAATGAGATGCTTTATTTTGTGTACTACACTTTGAAAATCTGGTGTGTCTTTTACATTCCCAGCACAACTCAATTCAGAGCCGCTCCATTCTAAGCACGCAGCAGCCACACATGGCTCTAGCACCTCACTGGTCCAAGTGAGCTCCACAGAGCAGCCACCACCGGCCTTACCAAGGGCTTGTCACACACTTGAAATAACCTGCATTGACCCAGCCTCCAGGAACCGCAGCACTCACAGAGGCTTGAGAAGCTGGATCGAGCACACACACAGCACTGTCCATATCTAGAAGCTGTGACCAGAGCCACAGATTCTGGGGCAGTGGTGGCCTCTCTCACATACCCCAACCGCTTACCTTTTCATGATGTGCTTTCCCACCTCTGTGGAGCCTGTGAATCCAATTTTCCGCACATCAGGGTGGTCTGAGAGTCTCTGGCCAACCAATGAGCCTGTGGATGGGAGTAGGCGGGAGAGTCAAGGTGGCCTCCATGGTGCTGGGGTGGGGAGGCATTAGTCCCATTACCCCTCACATGTCCACCCCAAGGCCAGAGCCCTGGGATGTGTCCTGCGTTCCTGGTGCCACTGGGCCTTGTTCCCTGTTAAGGACAGAACTGTATTTCCTCAAAATCCATATTGCATAGATACGGATGTGAGTAAAACCGACTCCATCTCTGTGTCCTGGATTTCATTTCATTTTTCTTCCATGCTGTGACCTTTGACCAACCTCACTGTCCTTAGTAAGCACATCAAAGCTTTCTAGTTGATGACTATCTGTGTTCCTTAAAATGTAGCCATAAATATGTTTGTTAGTAACAGCTGAATGGCATCACAACCGAGATAAGTATCAAACCGGTAATAGTATCGATTACAAACAATCATCGATCACAAGACTATCAGGAGGTATGGTCCCTGGTGCTATTTCATTCTTTGTCCCTTTGTCCTGTCAGTCATTAGTACCCAAGTTATACTATAACAAAAAAAAAAGTACGGTAACAGCGGTCTGTTAGTGGAGAATAATCTGAGCAGAATTGTTGGGTCATCTCCTCCACTCCAACCTAGTCTTCCTGTAAATAAATTACCCTATAATAAATCGTTATATTCTATGGAGTTGCCTGCTTTGTTTGTTGGTCTTGAGATATCTTCTTGTTATGGTGGCCATTACACCTTTGCCCCACCATCAGACATATGTTGAAGCCCTGATGCCTCAGATGTGACTGACTGTATTTGGAAACAGCGTTTTTAAAGAGGAAATTAAGGTAGAATGAGGTCATTATCCAATCCAATCAGGGTCATTATCTCTAAAGCATCCCAGTAATCTGATTGGGATCCTTATAAGAAGAGCAGATTATACAGATACATGTAGAGGAAAGGTCCTGTGAAAACAAAGGGAGAACAGAGCCATCTGCAAGCCAAGACAGAGGTCTCAGAAGGAACCAACCCTGCTTACACTTTGATCTTGGATTTACGGTCTCCAATACTGTGGGAAATAAATATCTGTTGCTTAAGGCTCCCCAGTCATGGTATTTGTTACAGCAGCCCAAGCAAACTCATACAATCTGCATGTGGCTTTCAACATATCAAGGTAGACACCAAGGGTACAGGCACCCAGACTTCCAGCTCTTCCAGGGTTGCCAACAGAGACTCAAGGATTGCCTGGCCTGGCTGTGGAGACAAGTGTTGCCCAAGCATCACAGACTCCAAAAGGCCTTCATTAGGGTTGCAGCCTGACCAGGAGAGCCCCAGGCATGGAGATCCTAGGTGTGGAGGCACAGGTGTGTAGAGCCCGCGCATTCGCTGCTCCACCTGTTTGGAATGATTGGCACCTTACCTGCCTCTTACTCCATAGCCTTTTCATTTCACCCCAAGCCCTGCACATACCCTGCCCACCAAGGTGGTTAGTTCCTCTTCACCTTTCAGATCTCTTTTTTTTTTTTTTGTAGAGGGCAGTGTCACTGGCCCTCACATGTGGGATCTGAACCAGGGCCCTCTGGTGTCCCAAGCCAGCTCCCAACCATCGCGCCACTCGGCCGGCCCCTCAGATCTCCTTTTCAATGAGGCTTCGTCATCATCTCTCCCCAAATGTAATCTCTCGCTGCTTATGTCTCTTTCCTCTTTTGGCTTCGGACTCTCTATTCTCCTAATTTGTCTCCTACTTCTCTGACTGCTCTTTTTCCATCCCCTTTGCTCTTCTTCTACCCAACTTTAAAATACCCAGCGCCTCTCGCTCTATCCTGGGCCCCCCTTTGCTCTTCTCAAGTCACACCATCACAGCTGCTCTCACCCTGGCTCACCTTTTCAAATGCCATCCTCAGGCACATCATCCTCTCCATCTGTATCTCCAAGCCAAGCTCCTCTGAAATACAGATCCATTTATCACTCCTCTGTCTGCTCAGAACCTCCACGTGAATGTCTCACAGCCTCTCAAATTCAATATACTTGAAACTGAACTCTTAATTTTTCCCCAGACGCACTCTTCCTCCAGGTTCTCTATTTCAGTAAATAACCTCTCCTTGCAGCCAGTTGTTTAAGCCAAGAAACTGAGAGTTGATCTTGACACATTCCTGCCCCACCCCATCAATCACCCAGTCTTGGGCTCCTTCACCCACCCAGTGGCTCCATCTCTACTGCTCCCCTGCCTCTGAGCTTATAAAACTGCATGTGCCTAGGTGTACCTGTGAAGGTTCCATTTCAGAAGGTTGGCAGTGGGACAGTTGCTTTAAATATATATACCACAGACTGGTACCCAAAATATACAAAGAACTCTTAGAACTCAATAATAAGAAAACAAAGTACCCAATTTAAAAAATTAGCAAAAGACCTGAATAGACACCTCAGCAAAGAATATATACAGGTGACAAACATATGAAAAGATGCTTCACATCATATGTCATCAAGGAAATGCAAATTAAAACAAAACTTAGATACTACTACACATCTATGAGAATAGTTAAAATCCAAAATATTAACAACTCATTCACTGCTGGTGGGAATGCAAAATGGAATAAGCACTGTGGAAGATAGTTAGGCAGTTTCTTACAAAACTAAAGATACTCAACATACCATAAAACAAACTCGCTCCCTGGTATTTAACCAAATGAGCTGAAAAGTTATATTCACACAAAACCCTGCATACAGATGTTTATAGCAGCTTTATTTACAATTGCCAAAACTTGGAAGCAACCAAGTGGCTTTCAGTAGGTGAATGGATAAATAATCCGTGGCACATCCAGACAATGGAATATTATTCAGCACTAAAAAGAATGAGCTATCAAGCCACAAAAAGAGAGCAGGGAACCTTAAATGCATATCACTAAGTGAAAGTAGCCAATGTGAATGGCTACATATTGTGTGATTCCAACTATATTACATTCTGGAAAAAACTATCAAGACAGTGAGATTGGCAGCCAGGGGTTGGGGGAAGGGAGAAATGATTAAGTGGAACACAGAAGATTTTTAGGGTAGTGAAACTATTCCATATGATACTACAATGGTGTATATGTCTCATTATACATTTATCATAGGATATACGAGTACAACACCAAGAGTGAATCCTGAAGTAACTTTGGACTCTGGGTGATAATGATGCATCAATTTAGCTTTGTCAGTTGTAAGAGATGTACCATCTGATGCAGGATGTTTATAATGAAGGACACTGCACATGCTTGGGGACAAGGGGCATATGGGAACTCTCTATACTGTCCATTCAATTTTGCTGTGAACCTGAAATTGCTTTGAAAAATATAATGTCTATTTAGTAATAATAATAATAATAATAATAATAATAATAATAATAATGTCACTATTTTAGGCTATCCAAGAAATATTTACAAGAAGGTATTACATATCAGATCACAAAGAAATTCTCCATTTTAGAAAGAAGAATTTTTATAGGCTATTATGGGTTGGATTGTGTCCTTAAAATATTCATATGTTGATGTCCTAACACCCTACCTCAGAATGTGACCTTATTTAGATATAAGGTTGTTGCAGATGTAATTAGTTAAATGATGTCCCTAGAGTGTATTCAAATCCAAAAAGACTGATGCCCTTATAAAAAGGGGAAATTTGGACACAGACACAGACACACACACAGAAAATATGCCATGTAAAGATCAAGGCAGACATCAGGGTGATGCTTCTATAAGTTAAAAAGAGGTAAGGGAGGCTTCTTTCTTGGAGAGTTTAGAGGAAGCAGAGCTCTGCCAACACCTTGATCTTAGACTTCCAGTCTCTAGAACTGTGAGACTGAATTTCTGCTGTTAAGCCACCTAGTTTGTGGTGCTTTGTTATGGCAGCCCCAGAAAACTAAAATGCAGGCTATATTCTCTGATCATGACATAGGTAATAAAACTAGAATGTAAGAACAAAATTTTAGACCAAAAAAATTATTTGAAAATTAAAAAAAAAATCTCCTGATTTACTGGGTCAAAGAGGAGATCAAATATACAATTATATATTACTTAATAATAAAAACATGAATACAATATATTCAAAAGTTATAAGGTAGGAGTACACTTCTGGAAAGCAAGCATGAGGAGCCCGGTGGGCAATTTCCCAGGGATACAACCATAGCTGGTGAAAATCATTTAAATAACAGCCACTTAAATTCTCTAGAAATTTTCCTAGGGGGATACAGCTAATAGATAAACATTTATTCAAGGAAATCTACTAAATCTCAGTAAGAACAGTGAGAATCGGCGGCACTTGAACTTGAGCCATTCTCTCGCTTCATATCTCCCCTCTCCCTCCATCTTGCTAGAAGCTCTATTCCAGGCAGGTGTGGCCAGGAAGACAGGGCCTCCTCTCTTCCAGCAACAAGTCCAGGGATATGGAATCTCACCAGGAGGAGCAGGCAATCAGCTTTCCTCATCTCCTCCAACTCTGAGTTTCAAAGGTTCAGTTCTTGTTGAGTATGTCTTCCACCCAGCCCCCACTCAAAAGGTGTAGGCTCTACTATAGATGAAGCAGGCTGGGTCTACTGGGACCTCATTCACCTATCCCAGCTCCCTCAGAGGAACCAGCACCTGAGGTAGTGTCTCGGAGATTTTGGCCAAGGGGAGAAGCTTTCGGTAAGGACAGAGAGCTCCAAAACACTTCGCAAAGGAACTGACTTTATTCAAAACAATGACAGCAATAAGGTAAACCACAGGTCAGTTAGTTTAGCAGAGAGAACCAGGGAAGAGCCCTTCTGGCTAAGAACCTCAAAGGCTGGCCTAGAAAACTACCCCTGTGAAGGGGCCCAAATCTAATTGGATCAGATTAGAGAGCAATTTGTGCCTTGGAGCACTGCTGAAAACAATAGGACAACCATTCTGCAGTAGTGGAGCTGAACAGCTGGGTGTGATGCCAAAGGAGGCAGACAGCTTAACAGAGAAACCAGGGAAAAGACAGCCAATGAGAGACCTGCCAAAGCTGCTTCATCCTAGGGTGATGTGCATGCCCAAGGCTGTGCTCTCTGAGGGATGATATCACCAGCTAATACTACAGGGAAAATAAGCTTCACTTAACTGGTCTAGCCAAGTCACAAAACAAATCAACAGGCAAATAAAAACAAGCTCTGGAAAGGGAGGAAGGGAATCAGTATCCAGAGTTGGTACAATATATTATGTAAATATCCAGTTTTTAACCAAAAAATTATGAGGCATGCAAGGAAACAGGAAAGTGTGAAACAGGAAAAAATAAGCGCAGGCAGTATAAACTGACCGTGAGAGGGCCCAGATGTCATACTTAACAGACAGACTTCAAAGCCGCCATTATAAATATGTTGAAAGAACTAAACGAAACAGTGCTTAAAGGAAGCTGTGATGACAGTGTCTCACTGTCACCTTGCAGCTGCCGGTTAAATGCTCCTGCGCACTGATCCTTTGAAGTCATAAGGGAGTGTCTTGGAATGCTGAGACCCGAGGGAGTGATCTCGGTAAAACTTCCTTATCCGGTGGTCTGGGAATGCTGAGGCCACCCGGGGGATCATAAGCATGTGTGAAAGCATAACTCTTGCTTGATCACAATGAGTTTCGGTGAAGCAGCTGCCGGTCTAATTGAATCAATTAACTGGGTATAGATATTCAAATTGACCTCTTTGTGACCATTGTAAATAAAAGCTTTATGCCCTCCAGTACCAGGGCTCGCTCTCTCTCTCGGTCTGCAGAGACTAGACCCCTGGCCTGCAGAAACTCTACTTTTGACTCTCAGTGATTTCTTAACCCATTCCAGCCCCTCCTCGAGCCTCCCAGCCCTTGTCACGCTGGACATGATATCTCACCAATTAAAAAAGGACCAGGTAGAAATTATGGAACTGAAAAGTACAATAACTGAAATGAAAAATTCAGTAGAGGGACTCAACAAGTACTTTGAACTGGGAGAATAAAGAATCAGTGAATTTGAGCATAGTGATTATGCAATCTAAAGAACGGGGAGAAAAAAGAATGAAAAGAAAAAATGAAGAAAGCCTCAGAGTAAAGTAGGAAAGCATTATATACACCAACATATTCATAATAGGAGTACCAGAAGGAGAGGAGAACGAAGCAGGGGAAAGAATTAGAATAAATAATGGCCAAAAATTTCCCAAATTTGATGAAAAGCATTAATCTACACATCCATGAAGCTTAATGAATTCTATGTAAAATAAATGCAGAGATACACACCCAGATAATCATAGTAAAAATGGTGAAAGATAAAAAGAAAATTTTGAAAGCAGCAAGAGAAAAATGACTCATTAACCCGCAGACTTCTCATCAGAAACAACAGGGGGGCCTCCTCCTCCACCATCAGGTTGGTCATCCCACCCACTCCGCAGCCAGTTGTTCCACACCTGCCAAGGCACATCATGCAGCAGGCCCTGTTCTGACCAAGTGCATCTCCAGCTTCCTGGAGCCCAGGCTCCCCCACATGCCCATGCCCCCATCCATAGCCCTTACCAGATCCTGGAAGGATGTTGATTACACCCTTGGGAATGCCAGCCTTCAAGGTCAGCTCTGCAAACTTCAAGGCTGTGAGTGGGGTCACCTAAGGAGGTAGGACAGAGGACTGGGTCAGGAGGGATTGGGAAGTGGGACTCTGCCATCCTCTCCGAGCAGCATAGGTCGCAAGCAGGGAGAGGCAGCTATGGCAGGAAGACCCCTGGGTGAAGCCATGTTCATGCCTCACCATAGCAGATACCACCAACTCAGCCAGCTTCTCACACAGCTCCCACTGGAAGCCTGGGAACAAGGGCATGCTAACCTCAGGTACCTTTCTAGCACCTTTTCCTGGCAGGGCTCTAGCCCCTCTGCCAGGCCTGGGTCCTTTCCTGCCTATTCATTCCTGCCTCCCATTTACACTTAGCCCTCAGGGAGTGCAGAGTCCCAAGGACTGCCCAGCAGGGCCTCCTACTCAGAAGGCTGCAGGGCACACCCATTCCCTGTCCCCTCAGAAAAACTGGCTTCCTCCTCTGGCTGTGGTGCTGACTTAGTTGTCTACCTGCTGGCCTCTGGCAGCACCTCAGCCCAGGGAGGACCTAGAGCTACAGGGTCCAACTCTGATGTGGATGACTGCCCCACTGCTGGAAGCCACGCCCTGCCCTTGACCAACCAACAATTGGTCTCCTTCTGGGAAGAGGGAATACATTTCTGGCCCAGGTAACTTTCTTTGCCAAGGTAAGCCTGTGCCCCACCCACAGCTAGGCCTCAGGATGAGCGGCTAAATCTGTGGTGTGTTTGCCCTGGGAGTGGGGTCCAGGTGTTCCTAAAGGCAACAGGCTAGTGGGGATCTTCCAGGGACAATTGTCTTGACCTGCTAGCAGGTCCCCACACACATACAAAAAGGCGGAGGTTAGGGGTCATTTCAGGGGGTTGTTGTAATGCTTAAATAAGCAAATGCATGTAAATTACTATTAATTTGTTATATACATTAAAATGCTCAAGGAGGCCTAACTCCAAGCACTATAATATTATAAATATCAACTATCATTATTGTTTTTTATTATTATGTTAATACCCGGAGGGACAAATTGCCCCCGAAGAAACAGGGATTGGGGTACTTCCTGGGAACACTATCCAGAGCCACATTCTGGAGCATTCGTCTTCAGTTCCTAACCCTCCTAGGGGCAGGCAGGGGAGGGGCTGTTTTGCCAATGCACAGGTGAAGAAGCTGAGGCTCATGAAGGGCGTGGGGTGTCCTCACCCCTGGGGGACCCTGCTCAGGCCCTCCCAGCCTGCATGAGCAACCCCTGACATCCCACCTCTATGCCCTCTCTATGAGGGGCTGGGGCAGTGGAGGCATAAATCCCACTGTTCACCCCACTTCCCTCCAGGACTTTGGTTTCTAAAGCCAAATAGGCAACCAGGGCACCAGCTTTACTAATAGACCACTGCAGACTGTCTCAGAGCACAGGGCCAGGGCCAGGGGCACCAAGTAGGGTTTCTGATCCCCGAAATCTGGGGTGCTGGCATATGTGAGGAAATCCCTGACTCTGCTCATCAGGCAGATGCAAACACAAGCAGTTATCCTTTCTCAGCCACTCCGTGGCTGAAAGAACATGAAGTCTTCTTACGGCTGGCACTATTGCATGCCAGCCCTGCTCACTGTGAGCGCGGCCCACAGTAGACTGGTCCTCATCAGCAGTCCCCTTCCTCCCTTGAAGAGAAACCAGGGTTGGCATGGGCAAAGGGCCCAAAAGACCATCTCACCCCTTCCTTACAGGATCCTTCTCCATACCCTCTATAACCCACAGGCCCTGCCTTCACCCACCTGGGCAGGCTTGATCACCACTGTGTTCCCAGCAGCCAGGCAAGCAGCGGTCTTCCAGGAGAGCATCATCAGGGGGTAGTTCCAGGGGATGACAATGCCACAGACCCTGCCATACAGAAAAAGCAGGCCTTCATCTCTCCACTCAGCCTGGGTGCCCACAGTGGACCTGCCAGCTTCTTCCTTTCTCCCAGGACTGCTATCCACTACAAAGTCAAGTTTCCTGATATGGCACCAAAGGTCCTGCGGAAGGCAGCTCCTGCCTGCCTTCCTGGGCCCTGACGGGGCAGTGTATCCAGTCTGGCAGGAGTCCCTCTTTCCAGCAGGGCATGATGGCATGGGACACTGGACAGTTTCTGATGGCAACTATGAGGCCAGTCTAGGGACACAGTTTGGTAGGATGTAGCACCAGAAAATCAGAGAAGTGATAGCAGGCAGCCATGGATAAGAACCTTGGCAACTAGCAGGGTCTGGGAGAGGGTCTGAGGTCACATGGCAGGCTTGGGGGACACGCACAGGATCCAGGGACAAGTGGGCCAGGAGGACGTGGGAGAGGATACTCCTGGGTGTGAGGCCAGGGCTCAGTTCTGTGGAGAGGAGAAGCATGGAGTCAGCCTAGGAGGCCTGAGAAGGTTTGCCTGCTTTGCATTAAGAGGTGGCACCCAGTGTAGTGCTACCCCTCAGTTGAAGAGAAAGCCTCTGTCAGGGTAGTGTGTTCGTGGAGAGGAGGTTGCCCCACAGTCCCGGGGGACCTGATGACAACACTCGTGGTCCCAGCAGGCATGTTGCCATACCTTCTTCTGTCCCATGTAAAATGGGGCCATAACAGCACCTCTCTGCATGAGTGTCAGATAATTAGAGGAGCTAGTGAATGCAAGAGCCACGTGCTGACTATACAACTATTGGTTTCATCATCATCAGTATCTTCATGACCACCATGACCATCAGAAATTGCTCCCAAAAAGATGACTGCTTAGTGGAACCTAGGCAATTGGACAGCGTGTGCAAAAACCCAGGGCATGATGGGTAGTGAGGAGCCACAGAGAGTGCAGACAGGCAGAGTGGGAGGGAGGTGGGGGCTGGGCACGTGCAAAGGCTGGCTTAGTGGCCCCCACATCATTCTGGGAGTGATGGGGCGTGCTGAGGAGTTAGGAGAGTCATCTTCTCACGCCATGTACACTCAGCAGAATAAAAGAGAAAAGACTGGTGTAGGGACCAGAGTGAGTGTTCCCAGGGAAGTGGTGAGGTCATCAGGAAGAGAAAGGGCTGGGTTGTGGGGGACTCCAGAGAAGAAAAGATGTCAGAGAAGTAAGTCCCACTGTCATGGGCTGACTTGTGCCTTGCCCCCTATTCATAGGTTGAAGCCCTAATTTCAGAACCTCAGTATTTGGAAATAAGGTTGTGGCAGATATAATTAGTCAAGATCAGGTCTTATTGAAGTAGGCTGGGTGCCTAACCCAATATGACTGCTGTCCTTATGAAGAGAACACCAAGTGAAGACACAGACATACACACAGGGAGAACTCCATGTGAACATGAAGACAGAGTCAGGCTACACCACAGATTGCAAGAGAACCACCAGCAGCTAGGGAGAGGCCTGGAGCACATTCTCCCGTATGACATTGGAAGGAACCAACCCTGCCAATGACACCTTGATCTGGGACTTTCACCCCCAGAATGCTAAGACAACCAGTGTGTTGTTTGAGCCTCCTAGATCTTTGTTACGGCGGCCCCAGCAAACTCCTACACTTGCCAACCCCCTGGGACTGGGGGGGTCTACAGAGCGGACCTTGACATGGGGTCAAAGCTAGCAGGCGCATGGGACACAGGGGCGGGATGAATACGTCACTGACCAAGCTGTGGTGAGACCGCTCTTTCATTAGCCTCTGGGCCTCGTTTATTCCTGATGACCTTTCTTAGTGGGGAACCTTATGGCTTTGGCTCCCCCAGTATTGAGGCCCGCCCCTCCCAGCCACAGCCCTGCTGTGCTCCACATCCTCAGGCACTGCAATGCGGTGACTCCTGCCTGTTCCAGTGTTCTGTCCAGTGTGCCTGGATGATGGGAAGTGACACCCTTTTCTCACTAAAGAGAGCTCCTTGGCACCGGGAGAGGTTGGGCCAATGTATAACTAAGTGAGGGGTGAGGCAGCTATGGCCTCACTCTTAAGGTCACTGGGGCACTAGCCAGGGGAGTTGGTTGTGCACATTGGTTGGAGCCACTGCCCTGTCCTTCTGAAAACATTTTTGGAATGCTCTGAGTGTGCCCTAAGAGTGCAGCAGCATCAGTTTGGGTGGCATGTGCCATAAAGAGAACAAAATGAAATTGCAGATTAGAGAGTAGGCCAATTTGGTGCACTGGTCTAGAGGAGGAGGTTGCCACACAGCTGACAACTGGATGACCAGCAGCTGAGGGACTGAAGGCTGGGGGAGGTGTTGGTGTGAATATACAGAGGGCAGCATGGGTGTAGAGGGACCCAGGGTTCACGAGGAGGCCAGCAGGGCTAAACACAGTGAAGGGGTGGCGTCAGGGACATCAGGATCCCAGTGAGCATATGGTCAAAGTCAGGAGTTTGATTTCATTTCAGCTGCACTGGGAGCTACTGGAAGACACCGAGAGGAGCAGTGAGATGGCCAAACATAACTTTTCTAACATTTTCTGAACATCACAAAGAGCTGACCTTTGCTCTTTCTCCGCACCAGGTAAGCATTCTCCTCCTCTCCCCATAGCTTAAGCTGTCTGGCCTGGCCTGGGGATCCCCTGCCCTGGAGCCTGTGCCACCTGCCCCCAGCCTCACCCCCTCCCTGTGGACTGAAGGAGACGTTTTCCCGCACCCACAGCCCACCCTCCCCGACAGCCCACCCTCCCCGACAGGAACCTCCCTCACCAGCAGGCCTGTCCTTCAGCATCTGGTTTGTCCATCTGTACTCAGTGTTACCGACCCAAGTGACATTTGAGTACACACTCTTTACAAAACACTCCCACATTCCCGATGAAGCTGAGGGCCTTTGGCCACCATCTGCGGGGATGTGAGGCTCCTGCTGGTGGACCACAGCTTCCCCTCTGTGAGGGGTACGGAGCGGGTGGGAATGACCAAAAGGTGCTGACCGAGGCAGGGCCTGTGTCCCAGGCAACTCTCCTCCCTCCCAAGGTCACCCCTGGCCAG